AGTCGACGCATAATCGTAGTTTTCTGTTCTTTTTGGGTACGAACAGGATTAGGCTTCCTGCTGGTGATGTTGAGGGTCTGATATATCCCTTCTTGAGGTTTTCTTCAAGGTATTTGTCTAGAGCTTCTATCTCTGTCTGGTTGAGTCTGTAGATTTTGTTGAAGCATGGTTCCTTCCCTTTTTTGAGGGGTATTTTGTGGTTGAAACTGGTGTGTTTGGGCAGTCCGGTTTCTAATTCGGCTGCAAAGAGTTTCTCGTAAACTCTGTATTCTTCTGGGATAGACAGAAGTGGATCATTCTTTTGTTTAAGATCTGTCGTTGTTAATGGTTGTGACGTGGCTTCTTTTGCCTTGAGGTAGCAGATGTATCGTTTCGCTGTTTCTTGCTGTATCGGCTTGTTTGAGGCCTGGTTTTGACAGGGCTGCTCAGGGACTGAGTCGTCGTGGTCCTAATAGAGTTAGCCTTTGCTCTAATCTATCTGTGGGTTGCTTGTTTATAGCCAGGGTAATCCTAGCACTATATCATATGTTCCTAGATCGGCAATATCGAATTAGATTCTTTCTTTTCGATTCAGGTAGCTCATCTTGAGGGGCGCAGTCTCATTATAGATGGTACCTCCTTCGTACTTAAATTCTTCTCCTTCTGCTGTGTGTAACTGATAGGGTCGCTCTTTTCCTCCCTATTAGACTTCTAGCCTGTTGATAGCTTAGGGGGCGATGAAATTTGCTTTGGCTCCACTGTCAATCAGTGTGAGTGTTATCTGTTTGTTAATAGTGACTTCAAGTTCTATGTTGTTCTTATGTCCTTGTGACATCTGGTGGATGAACCTTTTCCTTATTGCCTGTCGTGGTTCTTCGTCAGTAGGCGAGTCTAGTTTTTTGACTGCCCTGAGTGTCCTAGGTAGGTAATTTGCTTTCCTTCTCGTCATGCTTTTGTGAGGCTGTTCTCGCGGATCTTAATCTGCAGGGGTCTTGGTCCGTTCTTTATAACTCTCTATGCGCATGCTTTTTCTTAGTAGTATACTTAGCACTCATCTTATTAGCGTTCGTCCCACTTTATGTTGTGGTTATATTAGCATCTTATAAGAAACTAGGGGCTAGGTCTGAAGACTGCGAGGTGGTCTTCAAACAGTACTATGGTCCATCCGATCATAGCGGATGTTGAGTAAATCTTGCGGATAGGCTTGTCGTTATGTCTTCTGGGGTAGAATTAGTAGTTATGCTTTTCTCCTATATGTTCTTTGCATTTGTCGTAGAAACACTAAGACCAGAAGAGGGTTCAGTAAAGTTAGTAGTTGCTTCTTAGTGCGGGATAGTCTTCTATGCGTAGCTGAGGGGTGTAATCCTGGTCTCATTAGGTTGCTGAGGTGCTGTAAAAGTGGCGTTATTGCTTGTCTTAAAGCATATCGATTTCCTAGTACTTCAGGAGTTGCTTAATTCTGTCTTCCTGGTCGTCTAGTTCTTCTTCAGAGCTAGAGTCGTCCACACTAGGGGTGAACCTATAGGTGATCTCTGTTTGAGCATGTTGTTAGGCAATATCGCGAGGTTCGTCTGAGTCATAGGGTGAACTTTCGCCTTCTCTAAAAGTCCAGTTGCTGGTCATACTGAGAAGTTGTTGTTCTGTCAGAGGATCATGCTGATGTTCTGGTTCTTCCTCTGATTCTTATTGGCATAGATATGTTTGTTAGGTATCTTCATATGAGGTGATTAGTTTTAGTCGCTGGATTCGTAGCATCTCGTTAAGTTGTTTAACTGGCTTTCTGGCGACTCTGCTATTGCTGGAATGCATTATTGCCAGGGTTCTAGGGTAAGTATCTGGGGCACTTATATTATATCCAGATCGTCTAGGGTTGCTGTCCCTTAGGTAGTGTTCTGATATTTCTTTGTCTTTGAGGTAGATTCAGCAGTTATCGTCGTAGCATCCAGTCTAAGATTGGGATGTATATGAGGCTTTTGTAATTATGTTGACTTGTCGAGGTCGTTTGGCTACTGGTTTCCAGGGAAGTTTCTTAGGTTGTCTGCAGTCTTTGGCGATATAGCCTTGCTTGTTGCAGTTGTAGCACTTAGGGTTCTAAGGCTTCCTATCGTTAGGTTTAGTTATCATGCTGAGATCTATAGGTCTGCTGTGTTGTCTGTAAGTAGTGCTTTGTTGATTGTTGTTCTAGTTGCTGCAGGGTCTGTTGTCATTCTGCTGGTTGTTAAACTTATGCTGGGGTTGCTACTGGTACTTACGTCCTATATTAGGTCCTTGTCGTTTTTCGCCCTTTTCTTTGCGTTATTCGAATAGCCTGTTGTTGATCTTGATTGCGAGGTCGGCATACTGAAGGAAGTCTTTGGGGCGATCGATCTTAACGATTTCATCCTTGACTTCGTCTTTAAGTCCCTGATAGAATATGAAGATCTTAGTTTCCTCAGTGAGGTTAAGCTGAATGCTGAGCTGTCTGAACATAGCAGCGTACTCCTTAGTTGACTTAGTCTGTTGCAGTTATGCGAGATCTCTTTCAGCTTGTCGCTTTTCATCAGGGTCCTAGAAGAGAGATCGTAGGGCATCTTCAAATCCCTGAAAACTGCTGTAGATGTCTTAGGTCTCAGTGGAGCACTTATCCAGGGTTTCATACTTGAGGAATTCTTCCTGGATAGGTTTAAACCATTTGAGGGCTTATCCTCGTAGGTAAGTGGCGGCATGGACGACTTTCTCGGTTTGACTGGTGAAGTCTCTATAGTGGAAGTTTTAGTAGTTCTTAACTTAGATCAGGAATAACTTAAGTTGTCTAGGGGTGCTATCATAGGTGATAGGGGCACTAAGCTTAAGTTTCTGTCATCCCCTAGTAGGGGTAGTAACGATATTAGCAGCAGCCTGAAGGGTGTTAACTTCGTTTTGTAGTTCCTATATGAGAGGGTTGCTGCCTTGTCCTCCTAGGAGAGCGATTCTGTTTTCAAGGTCTATAAGTCTCTGAGGTCTGTTGCTAAGCTCCTGGATCATCTGTTTGAGGCCTTAGAGTTTGTTAGCGGTTTCGTTATATATAGCCTGGACCTTAGTAATGTCGTCATCTCCTTTCTTGACTCAGGCTTGAAGCTTGTCGTAGGTTTCCTTTTTGAGGGTGACTTCATCGTCTGAGTCCACTGCCATCGGAGCTCCCTCGAGTTCCTCAGCCAGGCTTTTGACAGGCTGTTTGGAGGAGGAAGAGCTTCCTGGAGTGGGTGACTTGGCGGAGGCGCGTGAAGACATTCTTATCTGTACTGTTAGTAGGTTTCAATGGTCAACTTACTGAACAGGAGCAATCAAAGTGTTACGGTCAGCTATCTGACAGTAGGGTCTGCTAACAGAAGCTGGAGATTAAGACGTAATAACAGTACACTTAGTCGTGGTCTGGGTCATAGGTTGTAGGCTAACAGTAGATCAGATCTTCAGAGGCTAAGGTGATCAGTCTTAGACTCAACAAGTAATTCGCAGTGAAGGTAAGCTGAGAGTATCCTGAGGATGAATACTAAGTTGATTGCTGAAGAGCTATAGAAGTCTGACCATGAGCCAGGCTCAGGGTCATACTATATATATAAGTCTTATATGAACAGTTCTGCTTGTTCATGAGCGCTATGCCCCTTGTCACTATGAGCGCTCATTCTAGAGTGGGATGAGCGCTCATTCTAGTCTCCACTGAGCGCTTATTGTGGGTCCCTTATCTATGCTCATTCCTTATCATCACGTGACCTGTACCATAGTTCTTCCGTTCCTGAGTGAGTCCCTGTTGTTCCTGTGATCCTGCATAGTACAAATGTCCTGTCCTAGCCGCCCGACGCCCAAGTGGGTCGGTTAACTGTTATCCATGCATAACAGGTCGTAACATCCTATAATATAGCAGCTAAGACTATTTATACTTATAGGTTTTCCTGATTTTATCTTAATTAATAAACCTTATTAACTTATTATAGTTAATTATTTATTAGATAAAGCTGCTTATCTAGAGGATATAGAGGTAGCTAAAGAGGAGGTTCTAAGAAAGATGTTACAACCCGTTATGCATGAATAACAGTCGACCGACCCACCTGGACATCGGGCGGCTAGGACAAGACATTTGTACTGCAGGATCACGGGAACAACAGGGACTCACTCGGAAACGGAAGAACTATGGTATAAGTCACGTGACGATAAGATAAGAGATTAGATCCGTACGCTAAGAATACGGAGGCCGTACTTGGCGTGAACGGAGTCCGTTAGGACTAAGAACGGTAACTAGGGACAAAGATACTGTTCAAGACTTGTATATAGTATGACCCTGAGCCTGGCTTAAGGTCAGACTCCTATAGCTCTTCAGCAATCAACTTAGTATTCATCCTCAGGATACTCTCAGCTTACCTTCACTGCGAATTACTTGTTGAGCCTAAGACTGATCACCTTAGCCTCTGAAGACCTGATCTACTACAGCGTACGACCTTCGACCCAGACCACGACCTAGTGTACTGTTAGAACGTATTAATCCCCAGCTTCTATTAGCAGACCCTACTGTCGGATAGCTGACCGTAACACTTTGATTGCTCCTGTTCAGTAAGTTGACCATTAATTCCTACTAACAGTAATAAGCGACAATGTCTTCCCGCGCTTCTGTCAAGTCACCTACCCCTGGACCCTCGTCCACCTCTAGAGGACGAGCCACCCAAAACCTAGCTCAGGAACTAGGAGACCAGAAAATGAAGGACGACTCGGACAGCGAGGATGACACTGAAGAACTCAAACGCCAGCTCAACAAAACCAACAGCGACTTCAAGGCGATGCGCGAAATGTTCAATCAGAACGCCGCAGCCCTCAGCAAACTCCAGGAACAAGCCCGCAAGAACCAGGACCTGGAAAAAGAAGTCGCCACCCTCCGAGCTGCCGCTAACGTTATCTCAGCCCCAGTCGAAGGATGAGAACGACTTAAGCTTAACTCCCCCACCACCTTCGACGGGACCCTAGGACAACTCAAGGGATACCTAGTTCAGATACAAACCTACTAAGCCTTCCACATGAGTACCTTTCAGAACGAAACTGAACGAGTGGTACACGCAGCCACCTTCCTCAGAGGACGGGCCCTAGCTTGGTTCGAACCCCTCCAGCAGGAATGGCTTGACAACCCTGTCGAGAAGTACAGCCAAGAAGTCAAGGACATCTTCTTCAGCTTCGCAGGATATGTCAAGGCTCTCCAATCGCTTTTCTTGGAACCTAATGAGAAGAGACAAGCCGAGCGTGACTTAGCTCACCTCAGGCAAACCAAGTCCACCTCCCTCTATGCAGCTGAGTTCCAAAGAATCGCCTCCCAGCTTGACATGACCAACGAAAGCAAAGTCTTCGCCTTTTATCAAGGACTCAAGGATGACGTTAAAGACGAAATGGCTAAGGTCGACGAACCCCCCAGCTTCAGGGACTACGTCGAACACGCCGTCAAGATCGACAACCGACTTTTTGAACGCCGCAAGGAAAAAGGAGAAAGAAGACCAAACCCTAACATGGGACGCAAATACCAATAGCAACCTCAACATAAGTTTAACAACCAGCGGAACGATAACAGACTGCGTAACAACTGGAACAACACTCGCCAAAGTACCGCTTACGGATAATACAGCAGACCTATAGACCTCAGCATGATGACCAAACCTAACGACAAGAAACCCTGGAACCCTAAGTGCTATAACTGCAACAGACAAGGACATATCGCTAGAGATTGCAAACAACCTAAGAAGCTCCCCTAGAAACCAGTAGCGGAGCAACCTCGACAAGTCAACATAATTGCGAAAGCCCCGCACACATCCCAGCCATAGACCGGATGCTACGACGACAAATGTCGAATCCACCTTAAAGACAAGGAAATATCAGGACACTATCTAAAGGACAGCAACCCCAGACGGTCTGGATACGACATGACCATCCCCAATACGCGCCCCAGGACCCTAGCTATGATGCATTCCAGCAACAGCGGAATTGGCAGGGAACCAGCCGAACCACTCAACAAAAAGCTGCGAATCTAACGACCAGAGCCAGTTACCTCACACATAACCTCTCAACAACTCCGCCACGAGGAACAACAAATCCAGAAAGAAATGGCAATAATCCGACAAGAGGACGCCAGACAGGCACGACTACGCCAACAAGAAGAGTCAGAGGAAGAGCCAGAACATCAACACGACCTACTGACGGAATAACAACTTCTCAGTATAACCAGCAACTGGACTTTCGGAGAAGGCGAAAGTTCACCCTACGACTCAGACGAACCTTGCGACGTTGCTCGACAACGTGCTTAGGCAGAGATCGCCTACGGTTTCACCCCTAGTGTAGACGACTCCAGCTCTAGAGAGGAATCTGACGACCAGGAAGACGAAATCAAGCAACTCTTAAAGTACCAAGAAATCGACATACTCCAAGACGAACAACAGCGCTATTTCTATGGCACCTCGGCAGACCAGTGAGACTGAGACTACACCCCCCAGCTATATACGGAAGATCATCCTGCTCTACGAAGCAACTATCAACAACACTGAACCCTCTTCTGGCCCTAGTGTTTCTACGATAAGTGCAAAGAACACATAGGAGATAAGCACGACTACCGATTCTACCCTAGGAGACTTAACGACGAACCCATCAAGAATGTCTACACTATATATATCATGATTGGATGGACTATGACAGCTTTCGACGGAAGGATTGCTACCTTTCGACCAAGCTCACAGTTCCCTATGAGATGCTAACACGACGACAATATGAAATGGGACGAATGCCAGCGCGACGAATGCTAAGTCCACTACCAAGATAAAGCTTGCGCATAGAGAATTGCAAAAAACGGACCAAGACCCCCGCAAGTCAGAATCCGCAAGAACAGCCTCACTAAGGTAGTACGGGAAGGAAAACGAATCACCTACCTAGAACGATCAGAGCAGTCAAAAAACTAGACTCGCCTACCGACGACAGATCACAACAGGCAACAGGGAAAAGATCTATCTACTAGATATCATAAGGACATAAGAAGAACCTAGTGTTACGGTCAGCTATCCGACAGTAGGGTCTGCTAACAGAAGCTGGGGATTGATACGTTCTAACAGTACACTAGGTCGTGGTCGTTGGTCGTAGTTCGTAGGCTTGTAGTAGATCGGGTCTTCAGAGGCTAAGGTGATCAGTCTTAGACTCAACAAGTGATTCGCAGTGAAGGTAAGCTGAGAGTATCCGTGAGGATGAATACTAAGTTGATTGCTGAAGAGCTATGGAAGTCTGACCATGAGCCAGGCTCAGGGTCATTATATACAAGTCTAGTTCTGAACATGTTCCTTTGTACCTTGGGTCGATCTGGATCATTTCGATCCAGAATGATCGTTTGGCCCCCAAGTCGTGTTGGATCATATTGATCCAATATAATCGTTATCTTATCATCACGTGACTTAGTCTATAGTTCTTCCGTTACCGAGTGAGTTCCTGTTGTTCCTATGATCCTGCAGTACAAATGTCCTGTCCTAGCCGCCCGACGCCCAAGTGGGTCGGTCAACTGTTATCCATGCATAACGGGTCGTAACATCAGGTCCCCTCTCCAAAGGTCTTGTCCTCAAGACCCAACATAAGTAGGTCGTTAGTCCTAGGTTGGGGATCCGTCAATCGTGCTTCCTGATTTACCCATGATGCTGACACTATATCAGGTCGCGTTCAGAAATCGGATTCTCGCGAGACTCGTCATACTCAGATTCAGCGCAACCGTAAGGCTCTCGGTGCTCTGGTTGATCACCATGGTTACAACGTAATGCCTTGTTCCCCTTGTTTTCAGCACAATCAGGTGTGCAAAATGGACCTCGCCAACTTAAAGCGTTATGGCGAGTGTGTGAAGCGGGGTTTCTCGAACTGTGATAGTGGTGATGTGGCGAATGCTTGTGAGTATCTTGGCACCTTGGTGTTTCCTGGTGTCGCTAACTTATTGCGGTAGTGAATCGTTGTTTCAATAAGCAAAAGAAAGTGGAGCGGGAGGAGGAAGAGGCTGAGGAGGCGTTAGAGGTGCTGCAGACTCAGCTTGCTGCCGCTCTAGGTCGTTTGTCTCGTCTTCAGAGACAGAAAAGGTTCTTGAAGGAGCGTGGTTCGGATCTGATTCGTCGGGGAATACAGTCCGTGGATAAATAGGAGGCTGAGGAACGTGCTCTGGACGCTCAGGAGTCCCAGGTGATAGAGGATTTGTCGCTATGGGGGGTTCAGAATAAGTCGGATTGGTCTTCTCTAGGTACCAGGGTGGTTGATTTGGGCATTCCTCCGAACGTAGGTTCTTCTGAGGTTTCTTAACTGGCTTCCGGTGTTCCTAGGCGGATAAACAGTTTTCCTTGTTGCAGCCGATCTACTTCAGTAGGTGGTCTGGTGAAGCAATATAGGTGCTTGATCTGCTTATATCCGTCGTTCTTTTGGGCTAGTATAACAGGTGTTAGTGTGGCTTCTCGTTCTTAATGTTGTTGCCAGTAGATCGTGAGTTCTTCTGCTGCGTTGGTGATGTTTTTGGCTGGTTCCTATATGTTGTCTTTGTGTCTGTATCCTTTCTATTTAACGAGGTATTAATATCCTTCTGGTTCCTTGAGATGGTTGATAATTCGTTCGACTTCGTATTCTGGTTCGTTGTCTTCGACGATGATAATATCGTTTGTCTGTGATCTGCGTGGTGCTGGTTCAAGAAGTGAGATGTGGAATACTGGGTGACACTTCATGGTTTCTGGGAGTCTGAGTTCGTAGTTGACTGGTGAAATTACTCGTGAAATTTTGAAAGGTCCAAGTTTTTTATAGTCAAGTTTGTCGTTTGGTCGCTTTGTTTTGATGTTTCGCCATATGAGGTAGGCGCTATCTCCCTCTTTCAAGGTTGGTCCCTCAATCCTTCGTTTGTTGCTGAATTTTGTCATTCTTTGTCGTACGAATTTAAGTTCTTTGCGTGCGTTTTCCTGGATATCCTTGATTTGACGTATTGAGGCGACAGCTTTTACTGCAGCTGGGCCTGTTCGGGGTTCTCCATAGGCGGTTGGTTTGAATCCATAGTTGAGGTAGAAGGGGGATTCCTTGGTACTTTCTCCTACTGCGCTGTTGTAGGCGAACTAGGCTATTAGTAGCAATACAACCTAATTGTCTTGGTTGTAATTAACGTAGGCGCGGAGATATGTTTCGAGAATTTGGTTGATTCGTTCTGTTTGTCTGTCGGTCTGCGGGTGGAATGCAGTGGATATTGATTGTTTGATGCTGAGTTGTGATGTGATTGACTTCCAGAACTTAGAAGTGAAGATCTTATCTCTGTCTGATATAATCTCTCTGGGCGTTCCATGGTTGGCGATAATATATTTAAGAAATATGTAGGCATATTCTTCAGCGTTACTTGCTTCTTTGTACGGGATGAAGTAGGCGTATTTCGTGAGTCGGTCCACAATAACAAGGACGCTGTCAAAGTGTGTTCCCGTAAGGGGTTCTCGAGACTTCAGTAATTTGACGATGAAGTCGAGGGATATGGATTGCCAGGCGGTTTGCGGCACAGGCAAGGGTTGTAGCATGCCATAAGGTTGATATCGAGCGGGTTTGCTTTTGAGGCAGACCTCACAATCTTTAATTGCTTTTGCCACTCGTTCTCTGGTGACTCTTTCTCTATATTGTTGTCGTAGTCGTTTCCAGGTTTTCATGATTCCTTGGTGACCATGTGCAGGGCGAGCATGAAACTCCATAATTGCTTCGTCGTCTAGTTCGCTAGGCGGGCTAGTACTAGATCGTCCGGCCATCATCAAGAGTTTGGTTGCTGGCACTAGGTCTCCGTTGTTGTTTCCTTTGAGAATCACCTGGGTTTCTTCAGGTACTAGGACGTTATAGTCCGGTCGTCAGCTGAGAGCGTCAGCTCTGCCATTATCTGATCCTTTGCGGTGGATAATTCGGAAGTTGAATTCTGATAGGAATTCTGACCATCTAATCTGTCGTTTATTCAACACTTTTGAAGTCGTGAAGTGTGAAAGGTTCTTGTGGTCTGAATACACAAGTACTTCGTGTGTGGTTCCTGAGAGTTCAGGTCTCTATTCCTTGAAAGCTTCGATGATTGCCATGAGTTCCTTATCGTGAACCTGATAGTTGAGTTCAGGTCCGTGGAGCTTGCGGGAAAAGAAGGCACACAGGTGTAGTCGTCCTTCTGAATCTCATTGAGATAATTATGCTCCTATCGCATAGTCGGATGCGTCAGGTTCTACTTCAAACTGTTTTGTCGGATCTGGAATGCTCAAGACGGGTTCGCTGGCGATGAGATCCTTGATCTTCTGGAATGCTGTTCGTTATGGTTCTTCCCATATAAAGGGCGTGTCTTTGCGGCTAAGGCTTATGAGAGCCGCGTTGATTTTGCTATAGTCTTTGATAAATTTGCGGTAGAAGTTGACGAAACCTAGAAATCCTTGGACTTCCTTGAGGTTGTTGGGTACCAGCCATTCCTTGATGGCTTTGACTTTGTTTTCCGACATACAGACTTCTCCAGGGGTGATAGTGAAGCCGAGGTATTCCACCCTCTGTGTGTGGAATTCGCTTTTCTCAGGTTCAACTAATAGCTTAGCTTCTTGGAGGGCTTATAAGACGTGGTGTACGTCTTCCTTATGTTTCTCAAGTGTCGATAAGAAGATGAGGATGTCGTCGAGATAGACTACTACGCAGATATCGACGTATTTGCGTAAAACTTGGTTGATCATATTTTGGAATATTGCCGGGGCGTTGGTGAGGCCGAAGGGCATGACGAGGTACTCGAAATGTCCTTTTCAGGTTCTGAAAGCGGTTTTCCACTCTTCTCCTTGCTTCATTCTGATCAGGTTATAGGCTCCTTTGAGGTCGAGGGCCGTGAACCAGTTGGCTCCATAGAGGAGTCGTCTCATCTCGTCAATAAGTGGCAGTGGGTAACAGTTCTTGATCGTCATTTCGTTTAGCATGCGGTAGTCGACGCATAATCGTAGTTTTCCGTTCTTCTTGGGTACGAACAGGATTAGGCTTCCTGCTGGTGACGTTGAGGGTCTGATATATCCCTTCTTGAGATTTTCTTCAAGGTACTTGTCTAGGGCTTCCATCTCTGTCTGGTTGAGTCCGTAGATTTTGTTGAAGCGTGGTTCCTTCCCTTTCTTGAGGGGTATTTCGTGGTCGAAACTGGTGTGTTCGGGCAGTCCGGTTTCTAATTCGGCTGCAAAGAGTTTCTCATACACTCTATATTCTTCTGGGATAGACAGAAGTAGATCGTTCTTCTGTTCGAGATCCATCGTTATCGGTGGTTATGATATGGCTTCTTTTGCCTTGAGGTAACAGAGGTATCGTCTTGCTGTTCCTTGTCGTATTGATTCGTTTGAGGCCTGATTCTGACAGGGCTGCTCAGGGACTGAATCATCGTGGTCCCAATGGAGTTGGCCTTTGCTCCAATCTATCCGTGGGTTGCTTGTTCGTAGCCAGGGTAGTCCTAGCACTATGTCGTATGTTCCTAGATCGGCAATGTCGAATTGGATTCTTTCTTTTTGATTCAGGTAGCTCATCTCGAGGGGCGCAGTCTCATTATAGATGGTACCTCCTTTGTACTTGAATTCTTCTCCTTCTGCCGTGTGTAACTGATATGGTCGTTCTTTTCCTCCCCATCGTATTTCTAGCCTATTGATGGCTTGGGGGGCAATGAAGTTTGCTTCGGCTCCGCTGTCGATCAGCGCGAGTGTTGTCTGCTGATTGATGGTAACTTCGAGTTCGATATTACCCTTATGTCCTTGTGACATTTGATGAATGGATCTTGTGTTTGTTGCCTGTTGTGATCCGTCGTCGGTAGGCGAGTCTAGTTTTTTGACTGCTCTGGTTGTCCTGGGTAGGTGATTCGCTTTCCTTCTCGTCGTGCCTTTGCGAGGCTGTTTTCGCAGATCCTGACCTGTGGGGGTCTAGGTCCATTCTTTGCGATTCTCCAGGTTTGTGCCTTTTCTTGGTAGTGAACTTAGCATTCGTCTTGTTGGCATTCGTCCTATTTCATGCTGTCGTCATGTTGACATCTTATGGGGAACTGAGGACTAGGTCTGAAGACTGCGAGGTTGTCTTCAAACAGTACTATAGTCTATCCGATCATGACGGAGGTTGAGTAGATCTCGTGGATAGGTTCGTCGTCATGTCTTCTGGGGTAGAACTGGTAGTCGTGCTTCTCTCCTATGTGTTCCTTGCATTTGTCGTGGAAGCACTGGGGCCAGAAGAGGGTTCAGTGAAGCCGGTGGTTGCTTTTCAGCGCGGGATGATCTTCCGTGTGTAGCTGAGGGGTGTAGCCTCGGTCTCGTTGGGCTGCTGAGGTGCTATAGAAGTGGCGTTATTGTTTGTCTTGAAGCATGTCGATTTCTTGGTATCTCAGAAGTTGCTTGATTCTTCCTTCCTGGTTGTCAGGTTCCTCTTCAGAGCTGGAGTCGTCCACACTGGGGGTGAACCCATAGGCGATCTCTGCCTGAGTGTGTTGTCGGGCAACGTCGCGAGGTTCATCTGAGTCATAGGAAGAGCTTTCTCCTTCTCCGAAAGTCCAGTTGTTGGTCATACTGAGGAGTTGTTGTTCCATCAGAGGATCGTGTTGGTGTTCCAGTTCTTCTTCTGATTCTTGTTGTTGATATAGTCTTACTTGTCTGTCGTCTTCTTGCTGGGTTAGCTCCATTTCCTTCTGGATTTGTTGTTCTTCGTAATGGAGCTGCTGGCTAGTCATGCGGGGGATGATTGGTTCCAATCGCTGAATTCGTAGCATCTCGTTAAGTTGTTCAACTGGTTTTCTAGCCACTTTGCTGTTGCTGGAATGCATTATTGCCAGGGTCCTAGGGCGAGTGTCTGGGATGGTTATATCATAACCAGACCGTCCAGGGTTGCTGTCCCTTAGGTAGTGTCCTGACATTTCTTTGTCTTCGAGGTGAATTCAGCAGTTGTCGTCGTAGCAACCGGTCTACGATTAGGATGCATGTGGGGCTTTTGTAATTGTGTTGACTTGTCGAGGTCGTTCTGCCACTGGTTTCCAGGGAAGCTTCTTAGGCTGTTCGCAGTCTTTGGCGATATGGCCTTGCTTGTTGCAGTTGTAGCACTTAGGGTTCCAAGGTTTTTTGTTGTTGGGTTTGGTCATCATGCTGAGATCCATAGGTCCGCTGTGTTGTCCATAGGCGGTGCTCTGGCGGGTGTTATTCCAGTTGTTGCAGGGTCTGTTGTCGTTCCGCTGGCTGTTGAACTTCTGTTGAGGCTGCCATTAATACTTGCGTCCTGAATTTAGGTTTTGTCGTTTCTCTCCTCGTTCCTTTCGTCGTTCATAGAGGCGGTTGTCAACTTTAATAGCATGTTCGACGTAGGCGAGGAAGCTAGGAGGTGTCTCCAGTTTGGCTATTTCGTCTTTTACCTCGTCCTTGAGTCCTTGATAAAAGGCAAAAACTTTGCTTTCGTCGGTCATATGGAGTCTTGCAGCTAATCGCCTAAACTCTGCGGCGTAGAGTGTAGCTGACTTGGTTTGTCGTAGGTGGGACAGGTCTCGTTCGGCCTGTCTTCGTTCATCAGGGTCAAGGAAGAGAGATTCTAGGGCCTTGACATAGCCTGTGAAGCTGAAGAAGATGTCCTTGACTTCTTGGCTGTATTTTTCGACAGGGTTGTCAAGCCATTCCTGTTGAAGGGGTTCGAACCAGGCAAGGGCTCATCCCTGAAGGAAGGTGGCTGCGTGTACAACGCGTTCGGTATCATTCTGGAAGGTGTTTATGTGGAAGGCCTAGTAGGTTCGAACCTATACCAGGTGTCCTTTGAGTTGTCCTGGGGTCCCATCGAAAGTGGAAGGCGTGTTGAGCTTGAGGCGTTCTCGTCCTTCGACTGGGGCGGATATAACGTTAGCGGCAGCTCGGAGGGTGGCGACTTCTTTCTCCAGATCCTAGTTCTTGCGGGCTTGTTCCTGGAGTTCGCTAAGGGCTGCGGCGTTCTGGTTGAACATTTCGCGCATTGCCTTGAAGTCGCTATTAGTCTTGTTGAGCTGGCGCTTAAGTTCTTTGGTGTCGTCATCGCTGTCTGAGTCGTCCTTCATCTTCTGGTCTCCTAGTTCCTAGGCTAGGTTTTAGGTGGCTCGTCCTCCTGAAGTGGACGAGGATCCCAGGGTAGGCGACTTGACAGAGGCGCGGGAAGACATTGTCGTTCGTTACTGTTAGTAGGAATCAATGGTCAACTTACTGAACAGGAGCAATCAAAGTGTTACGGTCAGCTATCCAACAGTAGGGTCTGCTAACAGAAGCTGGGGATTAATACGTTCTAACAGTACACTAGGTCGTGGTCGTTGGTCGTAGTTCGTAGGCTTGTAGTAGATCGGGTCTTCAGAGGCTAAGGTGATCAGTCTTAGACTCAACAAGTGATTCGCAGTGAAGGTAAGCTGAGAGTATCCGTGAGGATGAATACTAAGTTGATTGCTGAAGAGCTATGGAAGTCTGACCATGAGCCAGGCTCAGGGTCATTATATACAAGTCTAGTTCTGAACATGTTCCTTTGTACCTTGGGTCGATCTGGATCATTTCGATCCAGAATGATCGTTTGGCCCCCAAGTCGTGTTGGATCATATTGATCCAATATGATCGTTATCTTATCATCACGTGACTTGGTCCATAGTTCTTCCGTTACCGAGTGAGTTCCTGTTGTTCCCGTGATCCTGCAGTACAAATGTCCTGTCCTAGCCGCCCGACGCCCAAGTGGGTCGGTCAACTGTTATCCATGCATAACGGGTCGTAACACCTAGAACTCGAAGTTACTATTAACGAACAAACAACACTTGCGCTAGTCGACAGCGGAGCCGAAGCAAATTTCATTGCCCCCCGAGCCATCAACAGGCTAGAAATATAATGGGGAGGAAAAGAACGACTATACCCCTTACACACGGCGGAAGGAGAAGAATTCAAGTACGAAGGAGGTACTATCTATAATGAGACTGCGCCCCTCGAGATGAGTTACCTGGATCGAAAAGAAAGAATCTAATTCGATATTGCCGACATAGGGACATACGACATAGTGCTAGGATTACCCTGGCTACGAACGAACAACCTACAGATAGACTGGAGCAAAGGCTAACTCCAGTGGGACCACGACAGTCCAGTTACTGAGCAGCCCTGTGGAAAGCAGGCCTCAAACGAACCAATACAACAAGAAACAGCGAAACGGTACATCTGCTACCTTAAGGCGAAAGAAGCCACATCACAACAATTGACAACAGGGGATCTCAAGAATGATCCACTTCTGTCTATCCCAGAAGAATACAGAGTTTACGAAAAACTCTTTGCAGCCGAGTTGGAAACCAGACTGCCCGAACATACAAACTTCGACCACAAAATCCCTCTCAAAGAAGGAAAAGAACCACGATTCAACAAAATCTACAGCCTTAATCCAACAGAAATAGAAGCTCTAGACAAGTACCTCGAAGAAAATCTTAAGAAAGGATACATCAGACCCTCGACATCACCAGCAGGAAGCCTAATCCTGTTCGTACCAAAGAAAAACGGAAAGTTACGACTATGCGTTGACTATTGCATGCTTAACGAAATGACGGTCAAGAATCGCTACCCGCTACCACTTATTGATGAAATGAAGAGACTCCTCCACGGAGCTAACTGGTTCACAGCCCTCGACCTCAAAGGGGCTTACAACCTGATCAGAATGAAACAAGGAGAAGAATGGAAGACGGCCTTTAGGACCCGAGAAGGATATTTCGAATACCTCGTCATGCCCTTCGGTCTCACCAACGCCCCTGCAACATTCCAAAACATGATCAATTCGGTCTTATATAAGTACGTCGATATTTGTGTAGTCGTCTACCTAGACGATATCCTCATATTCTCACTAACACTGGAGAAACATAAAGAGGACGTTCACCACGTCTTATAAGCTCTTCAGGAAGCTAAGCTCCTAGTAGAACCTGAGAAGAGCGAATTCCACACCCAGAAAGTAGAATACCTCGGATTCACTATCACTCCTGGAGAAGTTCGAATGTCGGAGAACAAGATCAAAGCCATCAAAGAATGGCTGGAACCCAAGAACCTTAAGGAAGTCCAAGGATTCCTAGGTTTTGTCAACTTTTACCGAAAATTCATTAAGAACTACGGCAAGATCAACGCAGCCCTCACCAACCTCAGCCGCAAAGACACCCCTTTCGTATGGGAGGAACCCCAACAAACGGCCTTTCAGAAAATCAAGGACCTCATCAACAGCGAACCAGTCCTGATGATACCAGACCCCACTAAGCAATTCGAAGTGGAACCAGACTCCTCAGACTACGCCCTCAGAGCGCAGTTGTCGCAATGAGACTCAGAAGGAAGGCTACACCTATGTGCCTTTTTCTCCCGAAAACTCCACAGACCCAAGCTTAACTATCAAATCCACGACAAAGAACTTATGGCAATAATCGAAGCCTTCAAGGAATGGAGACCTGAACTCTTAGGAACGGTTCATGAAGTACTTGTATACTCAGATCACAAGAACCTCTCACACTTCACCACCTCTAAGGTGTTGAACAAACGATAAGTCAGATGGTTGGAATTCCTTTCTGAGTTCAACTTCCAAATCATCTATCGAAAAGGATCGGACAACGGCAGAGCTGACGCTCTCAGCCGACGACCGGACTATAACGTCCCAGTACCCAAAGAAACCTAGGTGATTCTCAAAGGAAACGACAACGGAGACCTAGTGCTAGCAACCAAACTCTTGATGATGGCCGGACGATCTAGAACTAGCTCGCCTAGCGGACTAGACGACGAAGCAATTATGGAGTTCCACGCTCAACCTGCACACGGTCACCAAGGAATCACGAAAACCTGGAAATGACTACGACAGCAATATAGAGAAAAGGTTACTAGAGAACGTGTGGCAAAAGCGATTAAGGACTGTGAAGTTTGCCTCAAACGCAAACCCGCTTAATATCAACCTTATGGGATGCTACAACCTTTGCCTATGCTGCAAACCGCCTAGCAATCTATATCGCTCGACTTCATTATTAAGCTACTGAAGTCTCGAGAACCCCTTATAGGAGCACACTATGACAGCGTTCTCATTATTGTGGATCGACTCACGAAGTATGCCTACTTCATCCCATACAAGGAAGCAAGCAACGCTGAAGAATACGCCTACATATTTCTCAAGTATATCATCGCTAACTATGGAACACCTAAGGAAATTATATCAGACAGAGATAAGATCTTCACCTCTAACTTTTGGAAATCAATCATGTCACACCTTAGCATCAAACAGTTAATATCCACTGCATTCCACCTGCAGACCGACAGATAAACGGAACGAATTAACCAAATCCTCGAAATTTACCTCCGCGCCTACGTCAACTATAACTAAGATAATTAGGTTACACTGCTACTAATAGCCTAATTTGCCTACAACAGCGCAGTAGGAGAAAGCACTAAGGAATCCCCCTTCTACCTCAACTACGGATTTAAACCCACCGCCTATGGAGAACCCTAAGCAGGACCAGCCGCAGTGAAAGCTGTCGCCTCAGTACGACAAATCAAGGATATCCAAGAAAACGCACGCAAAGAACTTGAATTCGTACGATAACGAATAACCTAATTCAGCAACAAACGAAGGATTGAGGGACCAACCTTAAAAGAGGGAGATAGCGCCTATCTCATATGGCGAAACATCAAAACAAAACGACCAAGTGACAAACTCAACTTTAAAAAACTCAGACCTTTCAAAATCTCACGAGTTATTTCACCAGTCAACTACGAGCTCGAACTCCCAGACACCATGAAGTGTCACCTGGTATTTCACATCTCACTACTTAAACCAGCCCCA